TGTATATGTTATTATTTTTCATCAGTTTGTCTTTTTGCAATACTTTTACATTCACTCTTAGTTTTTTCACTTCTTTCCTTTTCTTCTGTGCCCATTTTGTCGAGGCCTGTCCTTATGCACAGATATAGTATAGGTGGTACCTTGCTCAATAGTAGTAACTGTGAGAGGGATCTTGGAGTCCTAGTGGACAATCACCTAATGTAAAAAAGATGTTGAGACTCTAGAAAGAGTACAGAGAAGAGCAACAAAGACGATCAGGGGACTGGAGGCTAAAATATAGAAGGAACGGTTGCTGGAATTGGGTATGTCTAGCTTAATGAAGAAAAGGACGAGGGGGGACATGATAGCAACGTTCCAATATCTCAGGGGGGTGCCACAAAGAAGAGGGAGTCAAGCTATCCTCCAAAGCACCTGAAGGCAGGACAAGAAGCAATGGATGGAAACTAATCAAGGACAGAAGCAACCTAGAACTAAGGAGAAACTTCCTGACAGTTAGAACAATTAACCAGTGGAACAACCTGCCTCCAGAAATTGTGAATGCTCCAACACTGGAAGTTTTTAAGAAGAGACTAGACAGCCATTTGTCCGAAATGGTATAGGGTTTCCTGCCTGAGCAGGGGATTGGACTAGATGACCTCCAAGGTCCCTTCCAACTTTATCATCATCATCATCATCATCATCATCATCATCATCATCATCATCATTATTATTATTATTATTAGTAGTAGTAGTAGTAGCGGTAGTAGAAGTAGAAGTAGTAGTAGTAGTAGTATATAATTTCATCAAAAATGCATTGTCACCTAATTAACTGAATTTTCATCTAATTCTACCCTTAGCTTTCTGTGAAATATGGACCTATATTTACTGTCTGGAATGGATCAAAGCCAATGGTTGCTCTTTGTAGTTATGAAGTGATAAAAGATGCTTTGATAGATCATTCAGAAGAATTTGGTGGGCGAGCAGAAATGCCTGCACATAAGCGAATTTTCCAAAATAAAGGTTGATTCTCTTTCATTTCCTTATTAGTTATCATTTTTCTTTAATTTTCTGTACATAGTTTCAAATTATCTAAATGCCATTAATAATATTGATAATTGTGAAAGTTTCACTTAAAATGAAGTTTTGTAAAGATGTTGATTTGGTCATGCTTCTAGAAAAAGGAAGAAAATATTCTTTATCATTCCCTTTCCACTTCTCAAGTCTGCTCAGGTTGTCACTTACATGCATAAACCACAACAACAACAATAATTAAAAACCCACCCTTCTCAGATCTGCCTGTATACTCAGATGCTATCTTAATAATTCTTAGGTCCTTGGTTAGGACTTGAACTGTTAAGAAATCAATGGTTGTACCAATAGTAATAGGAGCCCTTGGAGCAATACCCAAAGGGTTGCCTAGATTCATGGAAATTTTGAACTTATCAGACCTGAATATTCTGACTTTGCAAAAACCAGCTTACTTGGAACTGTTTATATACTCAGACACCTTAACAGCTCTTAGGTCCTTGGTTAGTACTTGAACTGTTAAGTTTTTACCAGTCCCAGACTGTGAATCGAATTGAAGATTAAATCTTAAATAATAACAACAACAAAAATAATTTGACCTCTAAATTGGCCCTTTGGGAAAAACAAAATGGTTTTCCAATGAAGACATTTTGTGGCTTATGTTATCTGGATTAATGCTGAATATCAATTTCATATACCTTCAAAATAACTTGGACTTTGAAGAAGCAGAGTAGAAAAAATGTTGATGCCTTTGAGCTTTGATGTTGGAGAAGATTCCTGAGAACATTCCAGGGAAGACTCTTGAGAATATTGTGGATACCCAATAAAACTTATCATTGAACAAATCAGTCCAGAATTTTCACTCAAAGCACAAATGACCAGACTCAAATGATCATATTTTAGAAAGTTTGTGCAAAGCTCTCTCTAGCTCTCTAGAGAAAGTTGTAAGGGTGGGAAAGATGGTAGGAAGGAAACATGATGGAATTAGTTACAATGATGACAAATATATCAAAGTCCTCAAGAAGTAGGTTGGAGACCTATTGTAATGGACAAAATCTATGTGGTTGCTTATAATTGACAGTGACTTAAATGGTATATAATCAAGCAACCAAGTAAGAGAGCAATTGGAAGTGACTTTTTTTGTGAACAAAACCTCTGCTGCATAAACTAACCAGAACTGAACCAATTGCAATTTTCTTCTGCGTACTGAAAATTGCATCTCACTATAGAATTCTGTCCATGACTGGTCTAGGATCTGTCCCTATCCCTATTGTGACATGATTTCCACAATCTCATTCATTCTTCTCTTAATATGACAGCACTCAAGAACAGACAGATGAAAACTGTGCAGTTCATCTAATTAGTAATTCAAGCACAAAGGCTTGTTTACTTTAAAAGTGTAGTGGGAAAATTGTAATGTATAATTTTTGAGAACTGATATCACATTATGATCTGCTTCCTGTGTCTTTGGTTTCAGGTCTGACCAGTAGTATTGAGAAGAAATGGAGGGAGCTGCGACGGTTCACACTATCCACCTTGCGAGATTTTGGGATGGGTAAAAAAAGAATGTCTGAGAGGGTGCAAGAGGAAGCCCTTTGTCTGGTGGAGGAAATGGCTGCTACAAAGGGTAAAAAAAAAGAAAGAAAAAGCTGAAAAGGGTTTTTGTATTATGTGGGGTTACAGGAAAACTAGATTGTAAACTTAAACTCAAATCCTCTGCACATAATAAATGCACATAATAAAGAAAAACTTAGATAGGCAGTGAATGCTCCCCTCCCTTTTGTTTTCACAGTATTGTTCAGAAGCAAAGGGAAAAGTAACACAGTTGTTTCTCCCTCTTTTTTATCCAGTGTCAGCTTTTGGCTTGATGAAATTACAAGATTGTCAAGAAGTACTGAAATCTTACTGTAACTGCAGCAGCTGAGAGATCAGAAATACTAGGAAATTGTTTAATGGGGCAATTATGGCTTTATAAAGTTACAACTTTGTCCAAAAGAAGTGAAATGTTAGGCTGGATGCAGTAACACACATTAAGCAAATTCAGAAACCAACAAAAAACTTTATGGATTAATGAGATAGGTAAACTAAGTGAGGCAAGAAACACATAGATAAGAACAGGCTGCATGAGGGACAGAGATCTGTAAGGCAACATGGATTTGAATTGTAGGGCCACAAATATAATTTATTCAGGCAGTTATAGCAGTTTTGAAAGCCATCCTTGTGGCCACATTTCTCCTGGAAGGAGATACAAAAAGAAGCAGGAAAAAAAGTGTATTGGATTATTATTATTATTATTATTATTATTATTATTATTATTATTATTATTATTATTATTATTATTATTATTATTATTATTATTATTATTATTATTATTATTATTATTATTATTATTATTATTATTTAAAAGGGGGTACATTAGAAAGAGAGAAGGGTGGAGGTAAAGAGTGCTTGGTCAAAACTGGAAAGAGAAGCAAAAATGTTTCTGAAAAATATCACTTAAACATAATGCTATATTAAACACCAGGCAAAATCAGCAGCTAGCAAAGGGCAAGGTAGATAGGTAATTTAAAGGCAGAAATGAAACCATGGATAACAATTTGGGAGTTAGGGAGTTTGCATGAGGGTGGAGAACTGAAAGGCCCTGTGGATCTGAATTAAGTAGTCATAAATAGTATTCCTTTAGTGAGTTGTGGTGCCATTGAATATAATCTTTAATGGACAAACCTCTGGAACGAGAAGGCAAAAATAATGGAATGACTAGCAAGTGATATTATTTAAAGAAATATAGAAAGAAAACAGGGGAAAAAGTTTAGAAGGAGGAAGGGAGGATGAGACAGGAGAATTCAGTTAAGAAAGCAGAACCTTCAAAGAGGTGAAGAAGGGAAGGGACAAGGTGGAAAAATCAGCCATGAGCAGAAAAAGAAAAGGAAGGAGTGAGAAAACAATTCTAGATTGAAGGCAGCCATACGTTTGTGAAGAAACTCTAGTGGTAACCCGGTCAATCTTTGAATATATATATATTAGTCAATTTCAAAATGGAACATGGAAATACTATGTTGTATCTTGATTAAAGTGGTTATAGGATTTTAATATTGTGTTTATATTCCATACTTAGGAAAGAGGGAAAGAATAATAATTCCAGTTTCTCTGAATCACTTTTTGTTCCAGTTTTGAGGTGAGATTTGTGGAAGAGAAGATCCACATTCACTGATCCCACTCATAAGAGTCTGTGGTCTTTTTTTGCAGGGCAGCCTTTTGACCCAAGAAGAATTTTTTCAAGTGCTGTTTCTAATGTGATCTGTGCAGTCGTCTTTGGCAATCGATTTGATTACAAAGATCGAACCTTCATAGAGAACCAGAAGATTGTGGAGTCTCAATTAAGACACTCTGTTAGTTTCTTAGGACTGGTATGTTAATCCACCTGATCCTCTTCTTGTCATGAACCCTCATTTTAACTAGTGGGTGCGTTTGTGGGTGCAAATCAGAAATGTAAAGATTAGACGTGATGACCTACTAAGCAGCAGAAGCCAAATCTAGACATCCAGCGTGACTGAGCCATCTAAGCATAAATTGGTTTTCAAAAAATCTCTTCTGGCTGGGCTTATTTCCTAGGGAACCATTTCCTTCTCTTGTAACTCATTTGGGCCATGTCAGATTCTGGACAGGTGCATTTCTTCTTATCATAGAATTGTTAACCAGTCCCCCTATCTTTATGCATACAGCCAGTTTCTGTCTTTGCCTCTTGGAGGACTTTGGCCATTTTCACCATTATCCATTTGTGGAACTGATGGGGAGGCTAGGAAAGCAGCAGGAGAATCCCTTGACAAAGTAGCTCCTACAAAGAAGTCAGTCTAGGTGAGGAGAGATCTGGGGAAAAGCTTTTCAAAGACACTCCTCTTCAATTAACGTATTATAGATATAAATTCCTGTTACAGTTTCCAAGACACTGTATTTACCTGAGAGTAGAATTAAAGATAGTATACTGAAATCCTTGTGATTCTTGTCTTCTTGGGTTTGGGTCCATCTGAGGATTGACAATTAGCAATATCAGAGTAAAAGCTACTCTCTGAATATTTAGAGCATTAATCCTTCACCATAATGGTCTAATAAGATATAATATTTAATGTCAACTCTGTGACAGGTGTACAATACATTTCCAAAACTAGTGGAATACTTTCCTGGGCCACACAAAGCCATTTTTGCTGAGGTTGATGATGTCTGTGAATATATCCGTGAGAAGGTGGAATTGCACAAAAAGACGTTGGATCCCCAGAACCCACGTGACTATATTGATTGCTTCCTTCTTAAAATGGAGAAGGTAGGCATACATGTCTGCATAATTGTCTGCGTAATATACATTTAAGATGGAACTAGTTGATCCTATATGAAGAAGTATGGAAATATTTATTCTCCCCTTCTTTTTTCTTTACTTTTGGACAACCCATTCATTGCCCTTTGTTGGCATACATTATTATTCCAAGCATAACTGTTTCTAAAGGTATCCTTACAATTCTGCAAATTAGGTCAAACAATAAAAAATGAACTCTGTTATCTTTAAGACAGCAGAATTCTTCAAAAAAATAGTATGCATAGAAATTTTCTTCCCATGCTGATTTAAATTTTAGATAGGTGATATAAGTACAGTTTTCTAGAATCATCTTGTAGAAGAAATTTCTATTAGAATTAATTTATCAGATGTAACAAGTAAGTTTCTATGGAACAGATTTAATTCTCTTTTCCAACCATATACCTTAGGAATTGCTTAGACCAGCTCCAACAACATTAGTCAAAATCAGAGTATCTATTCTTTATTGCCAGCCAATTCTTGTGGTAAATATTTGATGGGCAGATCAAAGGGGCAAGCTGTTTCTTCCTCTGCATGAAATGGTGATCCCAGAAATACCTTAGAATTGAAGATCTTTTTTTATATTTTCTAAAGTCACTTTGATTGAATTACATTTCCTTTAATTGAAAAAGACACTATGAAGAGTTTCATGAATTACTTTATTTCAATTCCAAGTAGAATTTTTATTGTTCTGTTTCTCTTTTCATTTTTTTTAAAGGAGCAGAACTCATCTGAGGATATCTACACTCCTGAAGATCTTGTGATTATTGTGTTTGGACTTTTTATGGCTGGGACATTAACCACAAGCCAGGTTTTGCTCTGCAGCCTTCTAGCGATAGCTAAATTGCCTCACATTCAAGGTATAGAAATACCTACAAATATACAAAGGTGTCGGTACTCCTAGGACTGCCACTATTAATGCTAAGAAAGATGGTCTTTAAAGAAAACATATTTCTTTTAAAGAAGAAAGAAATTAAGATGGTGTTGAGTAAAGTAAACTTATTGCAGCTGGATTACTACATTTTTCCAGGGAACATTTGAGAAGTGTTTCCCCACTGTCTTCTTATAGAATATTTTTTTAGATTTCCCAGACTAGCTAACATGCCCTTGGAACCAGTGGATTTCCTGTTGAATATTGAGATTTTATGAAGACAATTCTAGTGAACTATATTGATTAGACCAGGAAGAGAAAAAGGTGATTGAATGCTGTAACAATAATCTTTATTCCCCATACAGCCATAGGCCAATCAACCAATTACATGAATTTAATACTTGCTTTATGGATCCTAGTGTGAATGAATGAACTTAGTATAGCATAGCTTTTCTTAAGGATCATTTTTGCAATAATATAAATGAACATTACTTTTAACTCAAGATATCATCCTTACATTTTGAACCATGCTGCTTCAGACAGTGGTAAAATTGTTTTCCAGAGGAATGTATAATTATGATATAGATAAAAAGTAATAAAGATTGTTACAGAATATAATTAATCTTAATCCATGATACTTCCTAAAGTTGCTTGATTAGTTGCAGAGTAAACCACTAGCTGTTTGGAAATGGGCCTCATGCTTTTTGGAGGAATGAATGCTTGTTGCTATGGGCATAAATATTAATTAATGTATACATATAATAACATCTTAGGAAGTTAATTTAAGAACGGTATCTTTTCTCCTGACTACTGTTTACCCCATTTTTGGGTGGAGACGCTAATTTTCAGAAAGCCCATACAGAAATGCTTTGTGCTTACTGCCTCTCAAGATATCTAGTAAGGCACAGAGATACAAATAATATGAATCCCCTCTTGCACTAGGAAAGTTGAAATGGTCTCCACTGAGAAATGACTTTGAAGAGGAACCATTCTCCTCACTAGAAGTGTCTTCCCTGAATGTGCTTTGGAACACATGTTTCTATTGAAGTGATAGCTGACTACAGGTGCTCAGCATGGCAAAGTAAAAGTCTGTCAATCTCATCTCAATATGTTTTTCTCACAGCTAAGGTGCAACAGGAGATTGATGAGGTGGTGGGTACAAATCGCACGGCAAGCATGGAAGACCGGTTGAAGATGCCTTTCACAAATGCCGTCGTTCATGAGGTTCAGCGATATCAGAAAGGGACCCTTGAGACTTTTCCTCGGGCAACAACTTGTGATGTAAAATTCCATGGTTACACCATTCCCAAGGTAAGATGCTACAAGTATTTATGAAGGCTCTCTAGGGAACAAAAGAAAGAAAGACTTAGATCCTTGATATGTGAGGCAGTTTGAATAAAAGAGCAATTTAGAGAAATATGTATTGAAAGAATTATTTACTCCTTCTCTCCTCATTCTATTCATTTCCTCTTTAGGCATGTGGGAAGCAAAGGCACTTTCTTCTCCATATGAAATAATATCATCTAATGGCATCTGTTTCTTCCTCTCCCTCTAGTATATGCCTATTGCACCAGTCTTCGCTTCTGCACATTTTGACCCTCATCATTGGGAGACTCCAGAAAAGTTCAATCCCAATCATTTTTTGGATGAACAGGGCCAGTTCAGGAAAAATGATGCTTTCATGCCATTCTCAGCAGGTACAAGCCTCTGGAACAGATTATATTACAAATTACCTGATTCATGTTATTCTTTTATCACAGACAATTCCAGTAATTACTTCCTAAATAAGCTTTGTTTTCTCTATTGCTGTTGTAGGGAAGAGGGCCTGTCCAGGGGAGGCCCTGGCTAGGATGGAGCTCTTCCTGTTCTTCAGCACTCTGCTCCAGAATTTCACCTTCTCTCTGGTTGGGGACACCAAAGACTCGGATGTAATGTCTTTGTATAATGACTTCAGAAAAAATCAATACCCCCTTATACGAGCTGTTAAACGTACAGTGGACACTTGTGGTTAATAATTAGGAGAAAGCACCTATACTAATAGATACTCAAATGAAGCATGTGGGATGGCTATTAATTTAAAGGCAATCTTAACAAAAATGTGGAATAAAAATACAATATTTTTATAGCAAATATAGTTACTCTTACCTCTTATCTGATTACATATTTTGGTGCAATTAAGAATACTTCTGAAATACTTAATAGCTTTTTCTCTAAGCTATATTGAGCAAATTTTCAATATATAATATGTACTGGAGATTTTAACTTCATACAAGGATCTCAGAAGTATTATCACAAATTGATGTTGTGGATTAACCTATATTTGAAGGTAACAAGGAAGAACTTGTATTGATACTCTTTGGCTAAATGCAAGATCAAATCATGTTTAAATCTGTTGATATCTAATGGTTGTTTTAAAGACTGACAGACTGAGTATTGTATATGATTAAACTATAATATTTGCTTGGCAATATATAGAACTAAAACATGTTCTAATTTACCTCAGCCTCTCTAGTAGTGTCTGAGGTAACTCCAATTTTAGAACCCTTAACAGATGCGGCATTTCACTGAATCAAGGCAGTCAGTTTGATACGGAATTAAGAATAAAATGAGTCTTAGCATGAGTTATTTATTTGATAAATTACTTTATTATTGTGGATAATAAAGAATTAGAACCTCTAACTTCAGAAAATCAATGGTTCCAGATGTACAAAATGCAAAATATATATCTTAGGATTTCAAAATGGAAGCCATTCCTCAGAAAATATTGTTTCACATTCACTGAATTCCTCAAAGGATTTGTTAAGTCCTCGTCTTAGTGGCGAAAGAATGGCACACATACTGTCAGCAACAAGTTCTTTATTCTCCTCCTGATTACTCTGTCAGAACCCACATTACTTGTAGGTTGACAACAACCTTACAAACTCCTCCAGATACTGTGGAGGTCGTTTGCTTCGTTGAGACCTCCTCAGACCCTGGGAACACCCTGGACTTCCCTGTGCACTTGATGTAGTGGGGCTGCCTCCTCTTTGTTGCCCTGGTGGTCCTGGTGACTTGGCTCCTGTCGCCTGGTCTGCTCGCTTGCCCACCGGGCTATACAGACCAGGGCTTTGCTCCCTCGCGTTCCTGTGTGATCTGCCTACTTCTAGGCTACCTGAACCCTCAGAACCCCACCCCCCATCTGGCGGGTCTGCAGTGTTCTCCAAGTCCCCAATGGACCAATCTTGGGAACACAGTTCCTCACTCCCAAGCCCTGTAGCAGGGTTATCTGGGGTCTCTGCGGTGCCCCAATACCCAATTGCCCCTTGATCTGTGCCTGAAATGCCAGAGTCAGGATTTGCCTCTCTGACTACTCCCCTTTGGACTGATTTCCTTCCGGGAGCAATTGCAGCAGTTTGCCAGTTCCCTTGACTACATGCCAGTTCTCTTGTATTGTTTGTGTTATGTGTATGCTCCCTGTTATTCTCCCTGTCTGGAGTGCTGTATTGGTCTTGTGAACTGTGTGGATACCCCCTGAGTGACTCCCTGGCTGGAGTATGTAATGGTTGGTGCGATGTTCCTTGTTCCCATGAATTTCTGTTGGGCACACTTGCGGAACCCTGAGATGAGCCTTCCCTTTGCTCCTGCTGATCCCCCTCCCCCCCAGAGAAAACCCAGGAGTAGAAGAGGAAGAGTCCAGTCTTGTACGCAGCTGGTCAATATGCCGCCGAAGAACGCGGCCGTCTTCCAAGGAAACCTCGTAAGACAAGGGCCCCGTGACCTTGCAGACCACAGCTGGAATCCACAGATGACCGGGATCGTAGTTCCAGGTCCAAACTGGAGCGCCCACTTGCAAACACCATGGTGCCCGTGGCTGGGAAGCCAGAGGTGCCAAGTCTCTGGGGCTTTAGTCAAAACAGCTGCTTGCAAATCCTGGGCAGCCGGATTCCTATCTCTCACACACGTTGTAACAGCCGCTTTCCACTTTTCCTTTTCCTCAGGAGTTAACAAGGTGTTTAATAACTGCTGGATATCCTGCCACGTGGGATTGTGAGTTTGCATAATGGTCTGAAACAAACCTGCCGTTTCCGTTGGCTTAGTAGTTAAAGGACCATAATGCTGCTTCCAATTCAACAAATCTGTGGTGGTAAACGGGACGTACTGAAAAATGGATTTGATCTGTGCAGCTCCCTGCTGATCCATGACATGCTGATCCATCTGTCTCAAAGGAGCAAGAAGCTCCCCTCCCCTAGCTTTTGATCTTGTCGCTACCCCCATTGAGACTGCAGCTTCAGTCTCCTCACTTTCCTCTTCACACAGCTCCTCACTTTCCCCTCCAGGGCAATCTCTCACCCCTCCTTTCTCCTCCTTAGGAGCAGTTGGCATAGCCTTCCCTCCCTTCTTTCTCACCACTGCTTGCACGCCTTCAGCCCGAGCCGCGGCCCCTGCCACAGGCTGGAGTGGTGGGGGTGCTACCATAGGCTGGGGTGGGGGAGGCGGCTGTGGCATGTACGGAGGGGGCCGGAGCACCACTTCCTCGTCTTCTACCAGGACCTCCTTCTTCAAGTCAGACAGCTTTGTTTCTACAATCTTCACATCCTTATATTTTTTCTCCACCACTTTCAACTTTTTCCCTTTTGGACTGACTACACACAAACGCACCATTTCCACCTGGCACTGCAGCAGATCATCTGCCCTTTCTGCTACTGCATCCCCCCACTGATCTATGTACTGAAATTGGTTAGGGTAATTTTCTTCATTTGCTGCAATCAGCGAAGTTAGATCATCAATAATCTGAGTATTAAACATTCCCTCAGGGGGCCATCCCACATCTAAATGAGGCCACCAATCTTCGCACAGGAAACGCAGCCTATCCTTGGATACTGGGGGATATGGCACTTTATATTTGGTGTGATTGAAATATTGATCAAATATTTATATTTGGTGTGATTGAAATATTGATCAAATCATGGATCCATTGGACAAGGGTCAAAGCAGCCGCAGATCCCTTGTGGGCAGTGTCATCACAACCCATGGCTCCTACCAAGCTCACTTTTAAACGTATATAGTGTATGCCTTGTTGTTTGTGTTATTAATGATTTACTTATATAGGATATTCTAACCCTTTCCGGAGCTACTTTGCTGGAACCTTACCGGCAATAGGTTCCTCTACGCACAGTGGCAAAGACCCTTGCTAAGCCACACCGGAAGCTGGCTTTCTACGCACGGGGGAAGACAGGATGAGGATTTTTGTTGTTTTCTTTTACTTGCCTTTTTCCCTTGTCATGGGTAATTATGTATGTGTTTCCAATTTAGGTCAGTGGAGCAGGCCAGAGGAGGCTCCCCAAGTGGTACTCTCTTATCTGATTGGAACAGGTGAATGTGGTGGTAATCCCCCGCTTGCTTTTACTCCAGAGTGTTGGAACGGGGTGTTGCCCCATCCCTGTCAGCATCCATGGGTATTTGATAGAATTGCAAAAGAAGCATGTCTCACTAGACAGCCTATTAATCCTGAGGCTTGTCCAGTTGTGGGATACATCATGAGAAAGGGGATGTGTGAGAGAGCCCCTTATAAAGAAGCCCTTCCTCCCATAACCCTGGATTGTGGACCTCCATTATTCTGGGGATGGGAACAAGTCACCCTAGTCTCGCAGTTAAAACCTGGATGGAAGGGGACTTGTATTGTGTGTGTGAACCTGGTGGAGTATGGAGTCACAATCAGAAAACCAAAAAGAACACATTCCCCTAGAAGGAGGGCTAGAAGGTCCTCCCCAGACACCAGAATGCCTCACCCTTTGACCTCACGGATGCAGTACAATCTATGGGTACGATTGGCTAAGGCGGCTAATGTCACAGACTTTTGTCTTGCTGAATCTTATGATATGGAAAACTTAATCTCTACTTGCCTGATACCTGTGTGTGTCCCAGCCTCTGTAATGAAAGCCTATTCACATATGGATCGACTACACGGTGTGTCAGAGGAACAGATCAATTATGATACACTTTCTTCTTGGGGACATGCCTCTTATCAGTTACCACTTGATGCCTTTGTATTACACACTCCTATTGTAGCTATACCAGAAGGTGTTGCTTGTGCTAGAGTCACTGGCTGTGAGCAATCTACTACAAAACCCAAGCCAATTTGTGTTAATGTGGGCCAAGATAAGCTGAATTGTTCATCATTTCAGTTGGCACGTTCTAACTATGGCCACATATGGTTGCCAACTGGCTGGTTCTTCACTTGTGGAAAGGAAACATTCAACTATATCCCTGCAAATTTAAGCTCTGCCTATTGTTGTCTGAGTAGGCTGACTGCATTTTTACCGAGTAGGTCAGCATTTGCTAGTTCTAATACCACATGCTATAGGAGAGCTGAAACCTTAAGTGAGGACTGTGACTCCACCCGCACCCTGTTAAATCCAGCTGAATATAATGCATTGGCTATTTCCTTAGTGGGCGTTCCTGCTTTAGCATTAAGAGCTCATATTAATATAAACTCTGTTGCCTGCAGTCTGGCCAAAACAATTAACGCTACTTCGGTGGCATTATCGGCCATTAATCAGGAGCTCATCGAACTACGTAAAGCTATTCTCCAGAACAGGGCTGCCAACATCTCCGCCAACATCTTGGTTGTGACTCAGTTGAGGGAATGTGCTGTTTTAACTTCACTGATCAATCAGGGGTAGTAAAGCAACAAATCAAGGTCCTTCACAACGTGGCTTCCGAGCTGCAGATCAATACCTTAGGCAGCTGGTGGGACAACCTGTGGTCCTGGCTCCCGATGGGTCTTATTGGTAACATTATTCAGTATGCAGTAATCCTTCTTGCTCTACTGGTTGGTGGCTGTTGCCTGGTTCAGTGTCTCTTTTCCCTAGTGACTAATATATCTCTGCCAAAGCGGATGTCTCTGTTGGCTGAACGGAAAGCAACGGCCCAGGTCATGGCTATGTGGGATTATGAAACATGAAAGTAGCGGATCCTAGTGTCACTGGTTGAGAGTAATCGTCCTAAGGAGTAGATTAATCTCAAAAGGGGGGAATGAGGTGGTAGGTCAAAAGGCATTCCAGAAATTGCTGAGTCTAGAGATAATGCTCTCTCCCACTGTCCTTGACTGTGTCAGCCATAATTCAGCCATATCCTGTTTTTGCTTTGCTTAAGTAGCCAATTCACTATTTTTATCTCTGTGTCAATGTTCAACTGTCTGGTATTTTTCCATACTATCAAGAATGCTGAGATCATAATGTTTAACATATTACCATATATGGGATCCAGGGGGGGTCAGGAAATGCATATGTTGTATGACCTATATATGTGCACTCCGAACACTCCTCGGAGTTCAGATCTTTTGCTCTGTGTAGTCCCTGAACCTGCGCATATTAAACTTTCCTTCTCCAAAGAGCTGGCTCATGTCCTTTCATTCCACAACAAACCTATCAGGGTGCAACCTGTCAAGTTTAGTTATCAGTCTGCGACCCCAGTGGAGTTCTGCTGGGTTCTTTCCA